AAACATTCATAAATTAAAAATGCCTAAAAACTCCTTTTGATCCTCCTATTTATCTTCCTCCTTTTAATCCTCCTCCTCGACTACTGCAGTCACCATTCACTTGCCCAATGATGTTCTATAATCTCAGCAGGTTTGTTATACTTCACTCAATTTTCTGTTGGCCTTCATTTCGATGGCAAGCCTCCTCAGTCATAACAACAATTTGCTTGGGAGTGACAAGCTTGTGCCACCCAAAAGCAAGAGAGATCTTGAGCTTCTTCTTCCCCGTAGCCTGCATTCATAACTCGAACTTAGACTGCACAATAGTAGACCAACTACCATTACTGCTGGCAGTACTTGGAATCTAGGAAGGCAACTGCCTCTCCAGAGCTACTCACACTATTCCTACATAATAAAATCCAATTATAATTGTCATTTTAAACATTAAGAGTCAAAATAAATATTGAAAATTTTATTTTTTATTTATGACCATTTGTAACAGGACTGACGACAAAAATAATCAGGAGCTGTATACACAAGTAAAGGAGGAATGTGCAAAATCTCAACATGAAACATATAGTAACTATGACTAAAATAAAAATAAAAAATTAGACAAGTATGACTTACATAGCAAAAGTAAACCAAATGTTCAAGGATATATTCGTTTCAAATTTTATCTCCTAGTGTAAAGCCAATCATCTACTTAAACTTAGGTCTAAATTAACTTACTTTTATGCTTCTTTTATATGCTAACATTCTGCACCACAAAACATTGAAAGCCTCACCGCCGTCTTATAAAATTTATATGCAAGTCAAAGTGGTACTTTTATATGTACAATAGGACTTATGCATTCCTTCACTTCAACCATCCAAGTTGAAGCGAAAATAAACCTAAAATCTATATTAATGTATGCATAGGGTAATCCATTAAGCCTAGGGTTCTAACCTTTCTAGCTTGCCATTTTCTCTCAACTCACTCTTCCAATTTACATTAACATAACATAAATCTAGAGTGATAAGAGATTGTGTTAAAACTTAGATTAATCAAATTTAAACATAAAATCATCTAAAAACAAACCAAAAAATCCCCAAACTATATTCAATTTCAAACATAAACTCAAGCAAAATTAAATAATTTAAAATTCAACAAACTTAATTTAAATTCATAAATGAATTTACGCTAATATGTCATAAACTAAGAAAAACTACTTAAAGCAAAATCTTAATTTAATTACATTCAAGGTAAAACTAAACCTAAAATCTACATTAATACAAACGTAACCTTAAAAGGAGAAAGAATATCTCATTATCATGGGGTTGAAGACAACCTCCATCTCAAGTCTTCTACACATGAACTAGAAAATTTATGAGCTAGTAACTTCTCCACTTTAAGCTTTTCTCCAAGTTTTAAGCAGAAATCTACTTCAACTTTGAAGAGAAAAAGATGGAGAGGAAGTTCATTCTCATTTTCTATATAAGGTGGTTAAGTGGCTCTCACTTAAGCTAAAATGAAAAAGTTAACAAAAGGAGAAGGGGGTAAAGTTCTCTCCATTATTTTCCACTCTAAGCTCTCCAACTTGTTCTAATGGTAATTCTCACACTATTCCAAATACCGCACTAAAATATATCTAAAACCTAACGGGACCACACGATACTAGGCCTAGCACCATTACGTTATGTAGGGTATCGTAAGCACCAAGTTATGTGTAGCTTTGTTGTTTCATATTCTTTGAATGGATGAAGCTCCTGATAAATGTTTGAGAATATGAAAAGTTGCTTGAATTTGGAATATGATCTAAAAATAATTCAAATGTAGACCAAAATATTTTATATAAAACTTAATGCTAAAATATGAACCCTCAATAACCTTCAATTATTACATACATACCACTGAACTCTTATGTATATACATAACTAACCCCAAAACTTCATTTTTTACATGCATAACACTTATGAATATATATACTTACCTAACACCAAAACTTCAATTTTCACAAACATACCACATTACCTATGCATTTCACACACCTAATACATAAACATCAAATTTTACATGCATACCACATATGAATGGTAATAATGGTGCGAACAAACTTGCCTTTTTCAATACTTTCTGATGGGAGCGGAGCTGAAAGATGAGGGCAGTTTAGGTGGTGTCTGTAAGCACGATCTGGTCGTTCCCTCCCCGACTAGCTCTAATGGAGATTATTTCTCGAAGGATTGTTCGAGAAGGTGATGGTTTTGAGCAAAGCTATAACAGAGAGAGAGAGGAAAAGGGACAAGGGAGCTTGAGAGGGTTTCAAGAAGAAGGGGAGACCGATAAACGACGTTGAACTTTTTCTGTCAAACTTTTGGAGCAAATATGACACAAAATTTGTCGCAAATATCAAAATTTATTATCAGCCGCTTAAAAGTCACAAATTCGACACTAATTTGCATCCGAAAATATTGACGCAAAGCATAATTGAAATAATCTGCTATGAATAATGAGTACACATGGTCATTCTTCTGCTGAATTAGGGAAAATAGAATTACAAAGTTGATCGTTATAAATATATAATGGTAGTTCATTAACAATAGTCCTAGTTTGGTTATTATATTTGTGTTTCTCGGTGATAGCGAACTGCAAGGGTCGCAGTCAGTTGCACTGGATGCAACAATTCACGTGAATGTTGTAGATGATGTTTGTAGATCCATCTTATTATATAGAACGTAGTTGAAAATCGTGGTAGTAGTTGGTAGGGTGTGTCACAGATGGCCGTAGTAGGAATCTAGACCACTCCACCGTACAACTCGGAGAGGTTCCCTTGACAAAATGAAGTTTGATGGACCTTTAAGGGTCATAATGATGCCAGTATTGAGCTATATTATGCTCATTGGATTCGTCTCGTCGATATACTCGATTTGATTATAAGCTTGTCAAATTCAAAATACGTTTGACATTACAATTATATAATAAAAATTTCTAAAAATGATTTAACAACTTCATCCATGCTTGATTTGACTCGGATCAAATCAATTTTGAGATCTTGGGTCCATTTTGTCAAATCCGTCAATTTGAAAGTTTGTTAAAATCATATCCTTAAAATTCATGCAAAATAATTTATCTGTGGCGAATTATATATTGATGACCTATGAACAAAATTCAATAATATAATTGTTGTATACATTATATAAATTCTCTCTCTATGTTGGGACCGATGGACGGCTCATGATAAGAATAAATCGCATCTATCATTCAAGTCGGACCCCACACATCCCTTCATTTTTTGTTTAAATAATTTTATTATTTTATTAAGATTTTATAAATTGTCAACACCACTTGCTATATATTTATATTTAAATATGCAACTGTTCTGGAGGTCAGGTTTAAATCGGTCGCGGTTGAGGCGTGGCCGGCATATTACCCAATCACCAACTTCCACGCCGTCAATAAACGGAACGATTTCTGTATTTTCGATTAGATTATTTCAAATAAAAAAAAAAATCTTTCCTTTTTTTCTATTTTTATTTTTAAAGTAATATTCAATCTTGTCTGAATAGTTCTCTTAATTTTTTTAATGAACGCATATATATAATTGTAACGTCTTAAACTTGAGATCTAATGATTGAAGATGATTTTATCAATCATTAAACCTAATAGAATGCGCCTATTTCACTGATTTTTCTTGTGAATGCAATACAATCATATTTTAATTGTAAAATGTTAAAATAATCTCGGCAATTTATATAAGTTATTTTAGTCTAAGTTTATAGAATTGTTAAAATAGTCTCTGATTATGTTAAAATTGAGCTCTAATAGTCATTTATGTGGACTGTTTCACCTACAATTTTGAATAAGTTTGTAGATTGTTTTGTCAATTCTATAAACACTGGAATTAAAATGACCCCATATAAATAATAAAAGACTATTTTTGCACTTTTATTTTATTATTGAATGTAGTTATAATTATAATTTTTTTTTATAAAAAATCAGTAATTTAATGTGTTTGAAAGGAATTTATATCAGCAATAAAAAGATAGTCGTGTATTGCTCAAAATTAAAATTAGCGGATAACTACACTCAATGATCAAAACTATTAAATTTTTTTAATAAATAACATTGTAATTTGGCAAAAAATAATGAAATAATAAATTAGTTAGCCAGAATACATTTAGTTAACTAAATATGTAGGATAAATTGATTAATTGGTGTTTTCTTTAAATTATTAATAATTGTTAATAGTTTAACGATATTTTTTTAAAAAAATTTAATGACTATTATTTAAATAATAATTATGGATTACCTTTTTTAGACTAATAACTATTAATTAAAACACAAATCATCTAACAATTAGACTAATTAATCAAAATAATTTTCATGGTTTGGCAATTCAACAATTAATTAATCAAAGAAAAAAATCTTAGTTAAATACATTTCTCGTTAATTACAATTCAAATTTATTGACTAATATTTAAAAGTTATTTATAAGACATGCTTTACTGACTAATATTTAAAAATTATTAATTAATCTAAACATGCTTTACTGACTAATATTTAAAAGTTATTTATTAGACTGATTAAACTAACGAATAAATCATTAATTAGTAGTTCCAATGATAATTTTGTTAAATAGCCTATTTATTTTATTATTTTATTTTCAGTCCTAAATATTTTTTCTACAACTTTTTTTTTTTTGTTTCAGACATCCTAATAAAATTTATTTTGAATTAAAAAAAGTAAATATTGAATTTTTAAATTATAAAAAATAAAATATATGAACACTATTTTATAAATTGAAAAATTATTATAGAAAAAAAAATGGTGTACGCGTACCGTAATTTATATAGTTGAAGCGTCTAGAATAAATTATAACGGTCAGCGCGGAAACAAATCCATGCGGCAGCCCGCATAAGAAAGTACTTTTCTTCCCCTGCACTTTCCTTACAACTCACGCCATCCGACACGTGGCACACGCCTCCTTCCTCCAGTCAGCCCATCTTCCCGCCCTCCATCTTATTTATATTCCAAACCCCCACCGCCTTCGTCTTTAAAATTACCTCCGTTAGAACAAAATGAAAACCAGATCACGACCCTCAAATCTCTCCCGCTTCTTCCGCTGCCATCCAACTACCGACGACGACGACGACGACGACTCGCCGCCGATGAGTACCTCCAGCGCCACCACCTTCTCCGACAACTCTCCCTACACCATGTCTCCATACAACCCCTCCACCACCTCCTCCCCCTTCATCCGCTCCCCGTGGATCCACTCCACCGCCGCCATCGCTCCCATCCCCCCGGAATCCTCCACCACCCTCCTCGGCTCCCTCATCCGCCAAGACGGACACGTTTACTCCCTCGCCGTCTCCGGCGATCTCCTCTTCACCGGCTCCGACAGCAAGAATATCCGCGTTTGGAAAAACCTCCGCGAATTCGGTGGTTTCAAATCCTGCAGCGGTCTCGTCAAATCCATCGTCATCTTCAACAATAAAGTGTTCACCGGCCATCAGGACGGCAAGATCCGCGTTTGGAAGTTCAACGCAAAATCCGACGACTACAAGCGCGTCGGCACGCTCCCGCGGTTCAAAGACTTTTTAAAAAGCTCCATCAAGCCGTCCAATTACGTCGAGGTCCGGCGTCATCGGAACGCGGTTTGGCTGCGGCACTTCGACGCGGTTTCCTGTCTCGCGTTGAACGCGGAGCAGGGTTTGCTGTACTCCGGCTCGTGGGACCGGACGATTAAGGTGTGGAGGCTGTCGGACTTCAAGTGCCTCACGTCGGTGAACGCGCATGACGACGCGGTGAACGCGGTGGCGACGGCTTTTGGTAATATGGTGATAAGCGGGTCGGCGGATGGGACGGTGAACGTGTGGGAGAGGGAGGACAGGACGGGGAAGCACGTGGCGGTCAGAACGCTTTTAAGGAAGGAGAGCGCTGTGACGGCGATCGCGGTGGCGGAGAAGGATGGTGTGGTGTACTGCGGGGCATCGGATGGGTGGGTGAGGTTTTGGGTGGGGGGGGGGGG